ATGTGGAATTCAGTGATTCATCACTTACATACAACACTCACTGCTCATCATATCAAGTGCACTCCTTAATACCCATCACCCATTTAACCTCTACTGTTCTCTGTAGTTAAGAGTTTTCTGTTTCTTGGTTTGCCTCTCTCTTTTATTCCACCTATGTTCATTTGTTTTGTTTCTTAAATTCCACATATGAGTAAAATCACATGGTTTTTGTCTTTCTCTATTTCCCTTAGCATACTACTAGTCTCTAGCTCCATCCATGTCATTTCATTGCAAATGGCAAGATTTCATTCTTTTTTATGGCTGAGAAATATTCCATTGCATTTATATATGACATCTTCCTTTTTTTTTTAAAGATTTATTTACTTATTTGAGAGAGAGAGCATGAGCAGAAGGGGCGGAGGGAGAGGGAGAGAGAACCTCAAGCAGACTCTGCGCTGAGCACGAGCCCAATGCGCAGCTGCATCTCACAACCCTGAGATCGTGACCTGAGCTGAAATCAAGAGTCAGATGCTCAACCAACAGTGCCACCCCAATATACCACATCTTCTTTATCCATTCATCAGTGGATAGACATTTGCGTTCTTTCCATAATTTGGCTATTGTTGATAATACTGCTATAAATATTAGGGTGCATGAAAATCTTAATAACCAATTCAGGGGCATCTGGTTGACTCAGTAGAGCATTCGACTTTTGATCTCACGGTTGTAAGTTTGAGCTTCATGTTGGGTGTAGAGATTACTTAAAATAGGAATCTTAAAAAAAATAACCAATACATAGTAAGTTTAGTTTATTAAGAAGAGTTCTATGGTGGTGTTCTTTGCCTTGCTAGAATGTTTTTGTGTATGAACAAATAGAATCTCTGGCCTGGAAAAACACTGGGCCCATGTGGTATGGCCAGGGACAATATCTGCGAGTGGACTTACAAGCAGAAAGAGTTAGGGTCCCCAGAAAAAGAAAGACTTGAGACATAGCTTTCATGACACAAGCGAAGTCATTTTAGGTCCCCAGCTAGTTTCTGTGATCTATGCCTTAAGGCTCTACTTGCCTTAGCACACTTCTTGCAGAACTTCCTAGGAGGTGTCAGAATTACAAAGAAATGCACAAACCTCCGTAGTTAAGGATTTTTAAGGGAACAAAAGAAATGCACAGATGAACAGTCTCTACCAAGCCAGGAAATAACCTAACCATATCAGAGACAATACATCAAGGGTAAAAGTCCCAGTGCTGTTTCAAAAGTAAGCAAGACCCTGCATTCCTTACCTAGGAAATGATGAGATGAGCCAAGGCACCATCTAGTTTGTACCACTCTCAGAGCACGTCCAAAGCCCCACAGTTACCTCTGCTTCATTATAATGTTCAAGTCTCTGCCCAAGGAAGAACACAAGCTTCATTGACATAACATAGGATGCCTGCAGCATAGGCATGTTTTCCTGTGCAAACTTATTCCCGCCTTTACGTTCAATGACAAAGTTCCCCTTTCTGAGTATTCATCCCAAACCCTAAATAAACAGAACCCATTCACCCCTGCTCCAGGAGTCACAGCTTTGGAAGTTATTCCCCGTGATCTCCATATTTGCTGCAAATAAAGATTACATTGTGTAACAACTCTACCTGGTGTGGTCTCTACCTGTAACTCACCAAGGAACTCAGGTTAGTTTGGTTACAAGACTCAGCTGTTAATATTCTAATTCTGTCAACTCACTTGTAGCATCTCCTCTAATGAGAGTGTTGATTATACTGTAGCGCCTGCATGATAGAATTGTGATGTTCTGAATTATAAGGTCTGGCAGAATTCCCTACTGACTTCTTGGGAAAAATTTCAGCCAGCAGTGAGTTCTTCAGCCTTCCCTCTTTGGCTTGCATTTGCGCCTTAAAAGATTTAACAAGAACTTGACTAGTCAATCATCTGGGAGAGTAAAGGACTTTGGAGTTATCTTTTTTGGGCACTGAACCCTGTATCTCTGATGATCAGTTTTACCTGTCAGCTTGACTGAGCCTAGGATTGCCTAGATATTTGGTCAAACATTATTCTGGGTGTGTCTGTCAGGGTATTAATGAATGGATTAACATTTGAATCAGTAAACTATATAAAATAGATTGTCCTCTCATGTGGGTGGGCCTAATCCAATCCACTGAAGGCCTAATTAAAAAAAAAAAATGTTCAGTAGAGGAGAATTCCCTTTCTCTGCCTTTCTTCAAGCTGGGACATTAGACTCAGACTGGAACTTACACCATTAGTTCTCCTGCCTCTCAGGCCTTGGGCCTCAGACTGGAAGTGTACCATCAGCTCTCGTGGTCTCCAGCTTGCCAACTGCAGGCCTTAGAACTAACTCTCGGAGTCCATAATCACATAAGCCAAGTCCTTATAGTAGGTCTCTATCCTTGTCTCTCTGTATAATTTAAATTAAATTTCAGGCCCAACAAGGAGTCACTTTGCCAGTCCAAGTTATCAAACTGGGGCTGAATACGTCACCTAATTGCAGTTTCAAACCCCCTCAGAAATGTAGTTTTAACTGATCTGTCAGGAATTTTTTGGTCAGCACCAATGAGGTAATCTGTCACATGAGCCCTCTCTATCCCCCAAAGTAAGATCAGGTGATCCACCTAATAAGACCTCCTGCCCTTCTCCCTAAGGGAAGTGACTCGCCTGGAACCGGAATGATTCTTTTTTTCTTTTGCTGGTAACTTCCTTGCTCTACCCTCCTTCCTATAAAAAGCCTTCCATTTTGTGCAACTCCTAGGAGCTCCTCTCTACTTGCTAGATGGAATGCCGCTTAATTCATGAATTGCTTAATAAAGCCAACTGACTTTACTCAGTTGCATTTTTTTTTTTTTAACCGTGTGCTTGTTTGTTTCTCTGGAAAACCTCAACTTATACAGATTTTGGTATTGAGAGTGGTTCTAGAGGAACTGTATGTTTAGGATGAGTTTTCTGAATTGGTTCTGGGTTTCTGGAATTGGTTCTCTAAAGGCTGATTGATTGATTGATTGATTGATTTGGTAAGCTTTATGCCCAACATGGGGCTTGAACTAAGAACTTGGAGATCAAGAGTCATGCTCTACTGTTGAACCAGCCAAGCACCCCACCCTCTGTAATCACTTTACCATCTTGCCCTTTTTCTTCTAGCCTTTTCTTCTTTACCCATTTGTTCTCTCTCATTCCCTGTATACACATACACACACACACACACACACACTCATTTTAAGTCTTCCCATGACCCATAGATCAAAGGTCTTTTTAAAAAAAAGATTTTTTAAAATTTATTTGAGAGAGAGAGAAAGCACAAGCTGGGGGGGAAGGGGAGAGGCAGAGGGAGAAGGAGATTCCCTGCCGAGCAGGGAACCCAGTGCGGGGCTCCATTCCAGGACCCTGGGATCATGATCTGAGCTGAAGGCAGACACTTAACCGTCTGAGCCACCCAGGCACCCCTAGATCGTAATCCTTTAAAGTCCATTACTAGGGTGCTCCAGGCTACATTAATTCCCCTGTCTCATGGTCTCATATTTCAATTTATTCCTTCTGTTGGATCACAGCTCAAAGCAACTCTCTTCACCCTTTATATGTTTTAAGGCCTTTTTGTAAGCTGTGACACAAGACTGTAACCTTCCTTTTCAACCCATGCCTGGTCTTCCATCTTTCCTATCAGTTTTCTCAGCTGATCACAGAAACCTGACAACTCTTCCTGGCTCTATGCTGCACAGACATGGAATTTCCTCCATTATGTGTATGGCTCTGATATTTGATTCATACATCACTTGCCATTCTTACAATATTTTACTATTTGTTTCTCTTTCAGGAAATGTTCATTCAGCTAAAGCCTATTGAAATCTGACAGTGTGTCAAGTACTGTACTAGCTGTTGTGGATACAACATGAATAAAACTGTATTTCCATCTAGGAGGAGCTCACAGACTAGAAAGCAAAGGCAGCATGTAAACATGTATATAGTAGTGCAGGGTGATAAGTATCACACTGTGATGTGAAAAAAAAAACCACTTCCTCTGGGGAATTTAATAAAAGGTTTCCTAGGAAGTGACATTTCCATAAGTCTTGAAACCCAAGTAGGAGTTTGCCAATCAGAGGACAGAGGTGAGAAGGAGGGTAAGGGGGGAATAGGGCATCTATCTATGAGTAAAGGGAGTGTGCAGAGGCTCTGAAATAATGAGGAAGAAGATCCTGATGTGTTTGGGGAGGTCTGACGATTCGGTGTGGTTCGATGTGTGATTAAGTGGCAGGGATGAAATGGAGAGGGCCTTCGAAGAGAGGATTGGGAATTTTATGCTAGAGGCAAGAAGACAGAGAGGAAACTGTTTAAGCCCGGGAGTTTGACAATCAAGTTTGTCTTACAGGTCTAAGGTTTGTCGTTGATCTAATTATATGGACTCTGCGTTTTGGAGTCTGAAAGGGGTGTGCTCTGCTTGTTGAATTGGAAGTGCTCAAGATAGCCTCTCACCTGAGACCCTCCTTTTTTTTTTTTTTCCGGATCTACAAACACCATGTTTTCAGTATTCCCAGCGCTGCACTGTCCGATCCCAATGCCCAAGTGTGCTAATTCACTTACTCTTTTTATTATTCCCCCCCGTCCTCGAAAATGTTGTTTCTCTCTTCTTGGCCAGGGATGGACACATACTGACAGCTTTTGTCTCTTTGAACCCCATTTTTCTGTTTTGACGCTGCCTTTCTTCACTTATGTTGACCTGGTCTTTAAACGTATTGTGGACATTTTGTTTCATCCTGGCCGGTGTCTTAATCACTCAGACGCAACCGGCCACCATAACCACGCCCACTCAAGAATGTGCCTAACTAGGAGGTTTGTCCGTACCGACGCGCCGTACTGACGGTGGCAGCGCGCAGGCGCAGTTCCCGCCTCCAGCGGCCTGTTTCTGTTTCCGGGGATGCCCTGTATCTTGGCGGGTGGACTCGGTTTCTTCATAGTCGGCCTCCGGCAGCGGCATACACTGTTCTACGGTCCTTTGCACCGCAGGCCCTAGCTTCCGGGTCGCTGTTCCAGTCCGCTCGTCTCAACCGGCACAGACCCATGGCGGAGCGTGGGGAACTCGATCTGACTGGCGCCAAACAGAACACGGGAGTGTGGCTGGTCAAGGTACGTTCGTGCGGCTTCGGCTTGCGCTCCTCCTAGTTTAAGTAGTTTAAGTGACTTGAAACTGTCCCACTCCGTAAGCCTTTTAAAGTTCTCTACGGCTATCTCGTTAGAGCTACAGAGGTGCAAACTGGTTTGCAGGCGAGGCAGTTAGTTGAGGGACGCAGTCTTTGAGACAATTAAGAGTCCGAACTTGCCTGGAACGCATTCCTTTCTTTCCCCACTGTGTGGTTTTTCTGGGGTCTTGTGATGGCGTTCTCCGACTTGAGCGGTGTATTTTACCGCAGGCTGAAGAATTTCTGTATCTCCTTTTGGTGAAAGTGATTTTAGTCGTGAGTCTATATAAAGAAGTTGAGTATCTGCTTCATGTACAGTATTCTCGGCCAGAAAGTAGAACGGGTCCCTGTGTACCCTTAACGTGTTCTTTTAGGTTGATGGCCCTTATTGGAGTTCTCAGGAGAGCTGAGACAGCTCTCTCTGAACTCACCAGAAGGAGAGGCCATTGAACTGGAGTGTTCTTTTAGAGTATTTTTTGTAAAGGCAGCAATCTTGATTAGCCCTGAGTGAGCACTGTATTTGTCCTTAATTTTTCATATCGAGGAGTGTTGCCTCTTAAGGGACTTTTATGAGACCTGTGTACAAAATGTGATTATGGCAGTCTTTGAACTAGGACCTTTGGTTTTTTATTTTTATTTTTTTTAACTTTTATCACATGGCTGAATTCTCATCAGTTAAATCTGAGGGGCGCTTCCTCTCCTCCTCTCTAAAAAAGCTCCCTTATGATCAGTTGCTAGCATGTCAAACCTGTATTATATTTTTCAAAGCACTTGTCACAGTCTAAAGTGATTGTATGTTCATGTGTTCAGTGTTGGTTACCTCCTTCTCTCTAGTGTGGGTGCACTCACACACATTCTATGAGAATGGGATCCTTGCCTGTCCCAACCAGAATTGTGTTTGACACATGGTAATTGCTCAACAGATATGGAATGAATGAATGAATGATCTCTTATCTATTATTCTTCAACCTCAGCTTTACTCTCTGGCACTCATTTGACTTCTCACAGATAAATCAGTATGACCCAAAAGGCTGGGGTGAATTTCTTCTAGGGTATTTCTCCTACTGCATGCCAAATGGAGGAGAATCATTAAGGAGATCTCCCTTGCAGATTGAAAGAGCTTGAAAAAATGGTGAAACTTGAGATGATGCATTAATTCTTGGAGCACAGTAAATGCTTAGTGAATATTGTTTGCCTTACACAATTGGATGGGTGGACAGAGGCATTAGCATAGTCTATTATGGAGAGTGGAACAGAAATGCAAGACTGAAAATGCATATTAACATGGTGTGTCCTGGAAAACAAAGGAGATTATTATGCCTAGAGCAGAGGGTTTGTGTAAAAAAAAAAAAAAAGTTTGGAACCGTATACTCATATTATACTGTGAAATAGGGGTGTCTTAACTTTAGTCTGCAAGAAGTGAGGAACCTTTTGTAGGGTTTTGAGTAAGGCAGGGATGCAAATAATGCAGGGGTGGGGGAAGCTTGAAAGGAATATAAGAGAGTCAAAATTAGAAAATGATCACAGCATCATAGGTATGTAATAATGAAGTCTGGGGAGTTAGGGAAACTTTTTCAGTAAAAGTTGTTGGGATTTGGTAACTGACTATATAAGAATGTGAAAAAATGTAATCTAAAAAGAAGTTAAAAAATGAAGTTTAGTTCATTCTCATGTCTGGGTATTTGAATACATTTTATCTCTTTGAAAAGAACTCAAGCCAATGATTTGTTCTTGTTTTGTAAAGGTAGTTGTTAGACTGTTTACGGTTTACAGTATTACTGTTTCTTCTTACCAGCTTGGCATACAGTATATCTTTTTCTAATCAAAAAAATTAATACCACACTTGCAGATAGATCTTTCCAGGGTGTGAAAGGACTTTCTTACCAGTTCTTGTTGTTTGACAAATTTATCTCTGAGAGATGATGAGAATTGCTAGCAAATACTTTCTGCCCTAAAATCCACTCCTGTTCTTTCTTTATTTGACAACTTTTGTTTCTGCTCCATTAAAGGACACCCGATAGACAATGGGTTTGATTTGCATAGCTGTCAGATAACTTGAACTTGTTTCATTTGCACTGGACTTGGTATCGAGTGTGATTTTCATGCCCGTACTTGAGCATACTTGGATTTTCAACTCTGAATTATAGGAATAAATTATAGGACAGCATCAAATTGTAATAGTCAATTTCATTTTCGGCTTTCTTTGCATGATATTAAAATATAACATATTAGAACGTGTGTCTTCGTTCTTATCCAGTCAGAATTTGTGAACAGAATTACATACTGATTTCACATCTTTTCTCTGTATGTTCATATTTCTCATTGTAGGAGCACCTGAGTCGCTCAGTCGGTTAAGCATCTGCTCAGGTCGTAATCCTGGGGTCCTGGGATTGAACCCCGCATCCGGCTCCTTGCTCAGCGGGGAGCCTGCTTCTCCCTCTGCCTGCCATCCCCTGCTTGTGCTTTCTCTCTGTCAAATAAATAAATCTTTAAAAAAAATTAAAGGAGACCTCCCCCCAAAACCCCTATATTTCTCATTATAGATAATACTTTTGAGTTCTGTTCTTTGAGGATCATTTGCTGCAAAATGTGTAAATTTCATCTTAGAGTATCTCAAAGTTTATGGGCCATCTTGCACATATTAATTCCATCACTAGAAAGGTATAAAACAGGAGAAATACAGTAAGGTGTAATATACATGTAAGATCTCTGAGTGTTTTGAGCAGGAAAATAGTTGTTTTTCTGGCTGGAACAGGGAAGACTTCATGGAGAAGGTGACATTTAAGAAGAGCCTATGGAGTTATTAGTTAGGAAAAAACTCAACAGGGCTGGGGAGAACTAGAGTGTGTTCAAAAAAAAAGCAAATATAGTAGAAGATTGTGTCCCAGAATATCCAGTACCTGTACTGGCTTATGAAAGGCCATTTCTGGGGTTTTGAGTATCTTAAATCTACAAGAGATTGATGATCCAAACGAGTTTTGATAGGTAATAGACATGATTGGATTTAACTTTATGATAGATGTCATCTGCTAAAACATAAAGTCACAGTTTTTACCTTGTCGGAGCTAGTCCTTGTAGTTTACATTACCCTGTTCTGTTGCTCAGTCTGTGCCACTGTTAGGTTGCCAATTGGTCACACTATTACTACATACCTTATACCAAATCATGGTTTAAAAATTGTAGAATGCTTAAGAATATTTTACCATAGTTCTGTTTGGTTTCCAATTTTTAGACTTCTGGAAAAATCATCTCTAGTTATGGTTGGCTGGAGGGTAAGGTACATATAGGATGGGGAGGAGGAGATAAAGTTAGCAAGGTTATTAGGAGTGGTGGGATTTTTGTAAGTAATGAATATCATACTGAGGCCTGATTTATAACAAATGCTACCTCTTTTTTGGGAAAGAACAAGTGGAGGTATTGAGAAGGGCTGTGGTAGGTCTAAGCAACAGCTTTCTAGCCAGTAAAAAGTTGTTTCTAACCCAGTCAGCCTTCCTCTTCTAGGCATTTTGACTACTCTTTGTCGGAGGAGAGGATCAGGACAGGAGACAGGCGAAAAAGGAACTTAGCTTTCATATGTACCAGGTATTTTATACAAAGGAAACCTGTGAAGAAGATACTAAATATCTATATTTTTTCAGATGATGAAATTGAGGCTTAGGGAGGTTATCTTACCCAAGTATGGAACAGTGTTTCAAATTTAGGTCTGTTTGGCTACACACCTTGTGCCAAGAATAGGAAATGTCTTTTTTCCAGCTTAGGTCTCTTTCATGAGTTATCTCCCTGAGGAATAGAGGTGATGTGGGGACTTCATTTCTTTCTTTCTTTCTTTGAGAGAGAAAAAGCACAAATGAGAGGGAGAGGGAGAAGCAGACTCCCTGCTGAGCAGGGAGCCCAATGTGGGGCTCAACCCCAGGACCCCGAGATCATGACATGAGCCGAAGGCAGATGCTTAACCGACTGAGCCACCCAAGCACCCCTGGGAACTTCATTTTTGTGACCTTGGATCTTGTCAGTTCCATGTGGTGATGATCTTCATGAAAACGTGGGAGTAAAAGCTGTGTGTCACAGATTGGGCTTCTTGGGAAGCTGATTTTGAGATGATTAGGTTTACCAGGGAATGCTCTTGGGATCATCACCTGTGGAAGGAAGAAGACTTAAACAGGACTGGTAAGAGGGTATGATGCAGTTTCAAGGAAAGCTGAGGATGTTTCCACAGGGAGTCTTACAGGTGTCCTGATTTGGGGTGAGGTATACCCTATGTTGACCAATCATTGCATGTTGTTTGTCCCAGGAAGAGTGTGATCTTGGCTAGAGGAAGGAAGAAAGAAAAAGAAATGAAGCCCCCACATCACCTCTCTTCAGTGAAGCCAATGCCAAAAAGGGGCTAACAGCTAGGACTCTCTGTGGCCACACTCCCAGCAGCTGGGAGAATAAGGCTTTCAGTCCTAAAGGGGGAAATGGGTGTCACATCACAGTGTCCATTACAGTGCCCTTAATTTGCTTGTATTCTGGGAGAAACAGGGTTTGGAGACTAGTAGTTGGGGAACTAGATATTCGCTGAAGCAAAGTTGGCAAAGAAGCTCAGGGGAATAACTGTCTATACATATGACCATAGCACCTTGGCTTCAAAGTCATGGTTGACCTTACTGCTCTGCCTGCCATGAGTGAACGGGTACGTGGGTTGATTCATCCCACAAGTTTTCAGTGATTGCCAGTCATTGTGCCAGGCTCTGAGTATGTTATGGTGAGCAGAAACAGACATGGCCCGTGCTCTGTGAACTAGGATTTATAGTCTACTGCAGGAGACAGACAGCCATGAAATATTAGTCCTAATGAAAGCAGTTACAGACTTACCTGTCTGGACATGGAAGCCAGGAATACTGTTCTGTGAGTGTGGATAATAAACTTGATCTAGTCTAGGGGGTCAAGGGAAGTTTCCCTGAGAAA